TCATGTTATTTCATTTCACTTTTTTCTCTCACAATTTACGTATTTGTTTTTATATTTTTTTTATTTTCACCGATTCAATTTTCTTCTTTATGTTCTTAGAGGGCTCGTTCTATAAAATAATAAATGCTTCATCTATCTATCTATCCCTCGTCTCGATAGAGACCCGAGAGGCGTTTCTGCGTTATTGCATTCGGCTTGAAGGAGTAACCTTCGCCTGGCTTCTCGCCCGTTCTAAGTGGCGCGACACATATAACGGTTAGTACACGGGACAGCTGTGCAGAAGTGTGTGCTTGTTGGAAGGTGTTGCTTTCGAAATACCGGCTCCGGTACGTGCGTCATTCTCTATGCCGGCCGGCGTTCTATGTTTCACTTTCGACTCTCGAGGCACCGGGAGTGGAACGGCTGGCTTAGCGGCGGCCTTGGCTACGTCGTTGTTTTCGCACCCCCTCCCTGGACGTTCTTTGCCCTTCGCGTCGACGTAGGCTCGAGAGGACCCGCACACCACCCTTCCTGGGAGAGCTCGCTACTTCTAGTCGCGATAATCATCTAGAAAGCCGCAGCAGCGACGAAACGCGCCGCCTTTCCGCCGCGGAAAGATGCGCGATTCTTCTCGACGTTGGAAAAAGTTTCGATTATACGAAATTTATGCGATTTATGTTAAACTCGGGGGATCCCCGAGTTAAACGTCCATTTCTACCAATACAGATTAACTTTAATCTCCGGTTTAACTTTGCCTTTCTTCCTTTTCGAATTCGAAGAATTAGAAAAAGGTTGAGAATAGATTTAAGCCGAGATTAAAGTTAATCTACATTGATAAAACCCTTCTATTCTTGCTTGTCTTCGTTTTTTTTTTTTTATTTGCTATCTCGATACATTTGCGATAATTTGCGAAGAGAGAGGTTTATCTCCTCCAGAGGTTAAAATCTTTTCTCTTCCGTTAGACTTTACGTCAGCTATGAATATTATTATTGAAATAAGAAGCGATTTGCAATCCAATTTGCAATTTGCAACTCGTAAGTTTCCCCTCTTAAGATTACGACGCGTCGCGGACTCCGCGGATCTCTCGTTGATTTTCCGCTTAACGTACATTTTACACTCGGTCACTCCGTCCGCTCCGTCCGGAGAAAGCACTCGTAATCGCGGAGGAAACACAAACGACGCCGACGCTGCGCGCGGGCGTCTATATGCGAATGGCACCATATTCCACGTGCAGTATTAACGCGGAAATCTATAGTCTTTCCTGGAAAAGTGACTATGTCGGCTTATAGATTCCCGGCCACCGGGTATTACGGGGTACGGTACATAGCCGCGCAATCTCGCTCGCTCGGCGTCCCCCGAAGTGAAACGGTGAGAGAACGTATCATTTTATGCAGTTTCAGGAAAACGTAATTCCAGAAACACGGCGCGTAACTCCACGGCGTCGATTATCTTCTACGTTGTTATTCGACGAGGGGCTCTCAAGGAAATTACTTCGGGCCCGTTTCACCACAATGTACTCTGTCGCGAAAGACTTGCCGTTTAAAGGCCGCTGCCATCTCCGGCCCGAGATCGACGGCTCGGGACGTTGTAGACCTCTCCCCCTTCCCTCCTCCCCCCCCTCCCCTTCCCATCCCTCTCCGTGCCGTCTCTGTCTTCGTGGTATCGCGAGAGATTCCTAAAACTTAATTGCTTCCACTGAAAAAGCGATTGTCGAGAACGCGGCGGATGTCCGTTTTCAGAATACACGTGTGTTTCGCTCAGAAGAGCCTGAAATATTCTCTCCTCGATTAATCGAACGTCGTCGAAAATCGGAAACTCTTTAATTGCCCCATCGCGAAAATGGAGATTGCGTTTGAGGGTAGTAGGGTGGGTAATCGTAAGTTCAATTTGAATAAGCTACGTATATGCGGCGTACGCGGACGTACGCGTAATACGGTATATAACGCATATGAGACTATAGTACGTGGTAATGTATATTTCAGATCCAGGAAACGACGGCCAAGCTCGAACAATGATTCCGAACGGACGTACAGCGGTTGGGGCGACAGGTTGGGGCTCTGCGGACGTGAGGGTTGTCGCGTCAACGAACGCGGTGATTGCATGGACGAATGCGCTGCCGCCCTGGTCCTTATGTCGCTCTCATGCTCACCTCACAGTCCTCACAACCCCCCGCACTTCACTGCCAATACAATTACGGTATGGCGCCTCGGACATTTTTCTCAGACAGTTCGTACAGAGCACTTGCGGAAAATCCGGCATATGATTAACTTTTTTTATTCATCATTCGTAATTTTCTTATTTCTAATAATAATTCGCTCTACATTCATCAATCAATTTATTTCGCAAGTAACCGAGTCTTAAAAAAAAAAAAAAAAAAAAATAATGAAAAATAATCGAAATCGTTCAAATTAATCCGCGATGATCGGCCGCGATGATCCCAAAATAAATTCGCTTCGCGACAGGTTCCTGGGGGAGTCGTGGAGGCGGAGGCGGCGGCATGGTCGCCGGCTCACCGGGAGTCGGCGGTATGTCAAACAGCAGCAGCAGCAGCGGGGCTTCCTGGCGAAGCGGCACCCCCAGCCCGCCTCTCAGCGAGGAGGGTGTACCGACGAGGAGCTCCCCGTGCCCGGCGGCCCCGCATCCCTCGCACAATCAACCGCATTATCCCTACAACGCGTCCGGCTCGTCGTCGAGCAGCACCCCGGGCTCGACCACGCTAGATGAGGGAATAGTGCCCGACTATATCGAGGAGCAGCATCCACGTAAGAAGGTGAGTAATCTTTTCCGGTGTTCGTTCAACTCCTCCAACGGCGCGACGACGACGTCGATAATCCCACGTTGGCGCGCGACAAGTTTCGCTGGATGCGCTAATCGGAACGAGGAAATTTCTGGAATCTCCAGAAATCCGTCGAAACTTTGAAACGCGCGCTCTCCTCCGGCCGCTTAACATGTCGCCGTACCTCGGGGAAGCCTATTTACCCTCGCGATCCCGCGAAGCATTAGCGACTTCCGTCTCTTTATCGCAAACCGCCGCCATGACCTTTGAAACTAGTTTTCAGAGTCGCGTGTTCGCGCTACTTTTCTCAGCAGCTCGAGCCCGTCCTCGTGCTCCGTCGTCTCTAAAAGTCTTCATTGACCTTAATCTTCGTGAATAATATACTCTCTCGCATCAACGCACGCCCAATTCAGCTTGCCAAGTCTCTCGGACGAAGACAAATGATTTTTGTGAAAATCAATTTTATTAACCGTCGCGTTTGACGTTCCGCGGCACGTCGTAGAATTTTCGTCGCGCCTTCCAATTATCCGTTGACGTTTTGAGCTTCGAAATTTTATGAATTCAACGTTTCGCGATTTGTACGTCGGTGTTTCTTACGCGTAAGCTGCCACAGCCGCGAGATTTTGACGCGCATTGATAAAAGTATATTTTTCGCATTAACGTAAAATACGATGCTTCCGTGGTGCTTACATTAACATATCATTCGCGAGCAACCTTCGCGATGGGGAATACAAGTTTCGTCGTGATAAAAATCGTGGCCTTCGAGGCGCTGCGTCTCCATGATTAATTCTTTCCGTGTCCGCGTACGTGGTAGCTTAATTAACCGCCAACGCCTGCGCACAAATATGACAAGTCTATTGCGTAAGACGATCGGGGCGTGGGGCGTCAGGGTGAGCACGTTGCACATTGCGTGTGTATAATCGTCCGATCTGGATCGAATTCCTCTCGGGATTCTCTCTCTCGTATTTCTTACACGCGGAATTGAAAGAAATTGAAGAAATAATAGCAATTTCGGCACGAATTTAAAATCCAATGAGACGAAGAATGCAATTTACGACAATCGTCGTAACCTTTTATCGCGAATAATATATATAAATATAGAGAATTTGTATCGGAAACTATTTTTGCCGATCCAATATTCCATAACATTGCCGAAATTACATTGGTTTCAAATTCCGTTTCTATCGAGCACTTAAGATTTTGATCCCTTGTTCTTATACGTTGTTTGTAGTATGATTTTTAAAAAAAACCGGTTCAGTGTCACAGTGACAGAACGAAAGGTCTCTTATGGATCTGAAATACTGCGAAAGAATAATATTTTTGATCGATCGACACGACGAGCGAACTCGACAGCCTTAATCGACGTTGACGAGTTACGGGCGTTGTTTTCGAGATGATGGCAGACTAGTTTTCTCTTTTCGAGTGAACGAGCCAGTGAAAATTAAGTCGCTTTCGATCGTTTCGTAACGTAACGCGGCCGATTTCCATGTGACGTACCGTAGAGAGTCAAAAAGAGAACGAGCCTTGTCATCTTCGGATCAACAACTTTCATTTAAAGAGCATTAATTTCCGCGATCTTTCAAAGTAACATCAAAATAGAATTCGGATTTATCAAAAAAAAAATTATCAAATAAAATATTTCGCGATTAATGTCTATTTCCATGAAATTTCATTTCATTCGCTCTGAATATGGATATATTTTGAATATGGATATTTCATATTTTTTTGTTAATCGGCCTCACACATTTTCTAAATATTCATATCTTCTTCGACTCTTCGATTATCCCATTTAAATCAAACGACAAAAATTTCCTTGAAACGGAGAAAGATGCAGAATATTTTTGTGCAACACGCGGACAGGTTATTTTACACGTTACATTACTGGCAAGTAAGTCACCAGTGCCTCGGGTGTCTCGTGGCTTTATATCGCGTCAGTTGTCGCATGCCGGCGACAACTGGCGCGATGGCAACATCGTGCGACGTCCCTGACCGGTCAGAGATGCAGGCGAAAGAGGCCTGCACGGAGACGGGTCGCAGTCGTCTTCGTCGTGACCGTCATCGTCGTGCGTGCCAAGCCCGCGCGCATGATGATGACATAAGCCCGCGCCGGCCGAGCCAAGGATGTAAACACACGCGCGCATGCGATTTTTTGGTATTTCGTAAGACGCGGCTAACAAGACGCGGACCTTGAGGTATTATCGCCCCGCGCTAATCTTAGGTACGCCGGCAGCGCCGCGCTTTTGCTGCTTTCGGCCGGCCCGCACGAGGGAAATCGCGGCGCGGCCCTCCGCGGGGCGGCCGAATGGCCGCGGTCCGCTCCCGCGTTCCGCTCCCGAAATAGCCGCTAAGATGAGCGCGTTGAGACCCTCAACCGACCGGCCGGACTCGGATTAAAATCTGCCTCTTTTGCTTTATGGCTTTTTCAGATTCGAGCGAAAGTCAACCAGGACCCGATCGAGACTGAGCCGAGCACTTTCGAGAGCGAACAGGTAAGCCCGATTTCCGCCCGTTCTCCGCGTAATTGGATAGCCGCCCGCGCTGCCACGCGCTCGCGGAAATCTCGCAGGTGCGAAATTGCGAGCGCGACTCCTTCTTAACCCTATAGCAGCCAGTCGAGCTATTTTCCGCGATCACGTCGAACGGGAATTGGACGGGTACTTTGCACGCGCGCGGCGTCGAGTCGCATTTCATGACGTTACATGCAACTTTACATCTTATCGCGAATTCGTAGAAAAGATATGCTTCGACAGAGAGCTTATTATATAGTATTTGCATTTTTTTGTTTACACCTTTCATCTCTTCAGCAATTCTATTCGATTATCTCCTTTCCCTCGCGGTGTACGTGGCACCTTTGCGGTCGATGTTTTTCTAACGATCTTAAAAGCGCAGCGAGGAAAGCATCTCGCGATGCAATTTGCATTCGACGTATTTTGTTGTTACTACGTCTGTTATCTGACTCGCGTTGGATGCGCGTAATACGGAGTAGAGAGAGAAAGATAAGTAATCTCGCGTGCCCATCGCAACAACAGTTATTTTTTCCTCTAAATTATCTCGAAATGTAGCAATCCATCGATATCTGAAGCGCGAGAAAGTAGGGAGGAGGAGACGGGA